CGTGAAAGGTAATAATGGATTAAATAATCCTCTTAAAGAATTAGGTAGTCATGATGCCTTGCTAGAGGCCAATCTTGATTTATGTATCAAGAGATGAAAAATGAGTCTTTTATTCTTAATACATTGCCAACATATCTAGGAGCTTATTGAGTCACATACATAAGTTCAAGTATTCACATTACAAATGAGAAGCAAAGATATTGGAAAAAGTTTCCAATTATGAAAGTTTTTTATTTTGAAAAGAGTTTCCAAAATGAAAATGTTTCTTAAAATGGATAATAGAAAGTTTCCAAAATGGAAAGTTTCCTAAAATGAAAGTTTCCTATTTTAGAAATCAATTTCCTAATTTTGAAGTTAGTTTCAAATTTGAAAATAAAGAATCTTAAAGGAAAGGAGTTTTCTAATTTAGTTTAAAGGGTATTTTAGAAAATTATTTCCTAATGTGGATCCTATCAAAATAATCTAAGAATATTTATTTGGATAGTCCAAATAAATTAATTGAGTTGAAATAGTTTTGGCCCCATTATGTTTGATTAAAAGCCTTAAGATAATTTTGGTGAAATGATAAACATTAACCTTATTGGATAATGATGAATGTTTTAAAGATAAACATTAAGTAGTCAACATGTAAAATAACTCCTTAACCATGGAGGATAAGGATGCAATAACCTAGATTCCTAATTAGGGATTTAGGCCGCCCCTTTCATTATCCTTGGAGGATAAGGAAACTCTCCCCCTATAAATAGGAGGAGAGGTGCGGCAAAATATGTGTTAATGCATGCATTGAGATTCGGCCAAGCTAGATAAAAATATATAGCAAAATTCAACTAGCCCTAATACCAAGCTAGGGCACACGACCAATAGAGAAAAAGAGAGAAAATAGTTTTCTCCTAAACCCTATCAAGCCATACTCTTTCCTCCTTGAATAAGGTTATCGCAAAGTTGTTCGGGATTGATTTCTAGTGGAAAAACTTAATTAGAAAAGGTGAAGCTAGCACCCCATCAATTTTGAGTGCTTCTTTGTGGATATTTAGGCTACGTGGATCATCAATAGAAGCTGGACACTTGGACGACTAATCAAAGAAAAGAAATTTAGATCTACGTTATAAAAGGTAATCCTATAATTTTATCTTATTATTCATATATGTATGATTAGTTGATTCAACGATATGATCTTGGGCCCTTAGATGGAGAAAACTTTTTATTTATTCCGTATCTCCATAGGATATATGATCCTTTAGCTTCCTGCTACCATAGTCTCCTTTAACCGTGAAACAACCTTACACATTTGAAATAACCAAACAACCTTACTCTCTAACAAACAAGAAACACAAACACCTAACAACCCACTACCTTTCATTTTTACCCATAGACCCATACTCAAAGCTGAATTTGATAATCTATTAACTAATGTTAATGATTTACTAATTATTTATTTGCAAAATTATGTATAAATTCAGAGTTGCCACCTAATATTGAAAGAACTAGGAACCTAAAATAAGCACTAGTTTAGAGATTCTAAGGTAATGAGTTGATTATGCTTTTGGAAAGATTTTTAATCACCCAAAAGTGCCATTTTTGAAAAAGGTACCATTTTGGGTTTAGTCTTAAATTTATCTCCTAAAGTATTTTATTTATGCCAAATTATTTTTCAATTTGAAACGCCAAATTTTTTCAAGTTGAATTAAAATTTTTAGTTTTGAGCATGGCATTGTATTGAAACGATCAACGATCTCCTTTCGTCGACAACACGTCGGTTCAAATATCGGATCTATTTTAACCTTCAACACAATCGGTGTGTCGAAGAACATCTTGATTATAAGTGTTGATTTTGGTAATGATAGTCCCTATCGAATATAAGATTTCATTAAGAATTTGTTTTTATTTTTTTGGTTAAACGACGGTCCCTATCGGATAGGAGACTTCATTAAGAATTTTTTTATTTATTTTTCGTCAAACAATAGTCCCTATCAAATAGGAGACTACGTTGAGAATTTTAAATAATATTTTTATAGGTGAAAAATCATCATCAATCTCTAAAAAATAAGAGACTTGACAATTATCTTCCTATTGATTGCTTAGTAAGCCTAATTACTAAACAATGGAAGTAAGTTATCAAAATAAATTAAACAAAATTAAAGTACAAAATTCTAAATAAATAAGGACTAAAATTATCTTAAATTAAATAATTATGGGTAAATTAAATTCGAAATTAAATATAACTAAGAGACATGTAGAAAATAAAAATTGCAATTACATTAATAATAAAATTGATTAAGGTAATTAAAATATCTAAATTAAATACCAAATGCTAAATATGCATAATTTTTTTTTCAAAAATTAAATTATAGTTAAACACTTCTTCTTGCTATTTTTCTTCTCATTCAAAATTTCCTTCCTTTTTTTTACTTTTCTCTTTTTTTTTCCCTACTTCTATTTCTTCATTTTTTATTTTTTTCGGAAGAGTCTAGACCGATTCCAACCTCTCTTCCTTGTGTTTTTTTTTTTTTTGGAGAAGGCTTGATCGATTCCGACCTTTTTGTTTTTGTTTTTTTATTTATGTACTTAGGCGAGAGGGGCCTGGAATTTTTTTTTCTATTCGTGGAACAAGTTGGACTAGGCCGAAATCGATCCAAACTTCCTTCCTTTTTTTTTTTTTTTTACCATGATTAGGCTCAAGCCTAGAAACCAGTGCAGAGGCTAAAAAATTTTAAAATTTTGATCAAACCCCCTTCTAACTCTTTCTCTTTTCTCTCTCTAGTTCTTCAATTTCTTCTTTTTTCTCTCTATTTTCTAGTTTTTCTTCCCAAAATTAAAATTTTTGTTTTGAAGTGATGGCTAAATGACTAAGGTCTATTCATTTGATTGAACTAAAACTGATGGTTTAAACTAACAAAAAAAAATGAATTAAAAAATAACAATTAAAATGATAGAAATTAAAGAATTGATAGAAACAAAAGGAAGGAAGGTCGACAAAATTTAAAGCGGACCTATATTGTGTTGTAGCTTAGATTGGAACAAGTTTGAGTTTCGAAATGATTTTGGTGAATCGGGGAGCTTTTGGTTGAAGTGGAATGCTTAGGTAATGCCTAAGATTCAAAGATTAAATCTAGTAGAACCTAGGAGCATCGTATACAAACCCGAATGATGAGCACGAACCCATGAAGCAAAGAAAACCAAGAACAGAATAGTGCTTGTGCCAAAAAATTTGAAGAAAAATTCAAAACCCGCAAATTTAAAATGAAAAATCTAAGAATTGAATTGAAAAACTAGAAAAGTCGAAAAAAAACAGAGGAAAAACCAAAAAATAACGAATTGAAATACCCCCACACTAAAGAACATTAATATAGAAATGAAGAATAGACAAACAAGAACCTAGAAAAAAACCTAGAAAATTGCTACTCGCTAAGGAAAAAAAACTACTTTTCACTCTTGATCTTCACTTTCTTTCCAACAAAAAAAAAAAAAAATTCCCTATCACTTGTTGTCCTTTCTTTCATGTCAATGCTAGCCTTTTATAGGCACAAATTAGCTTAAATCTCTCCTCCAAAATCCAACTCGTTCATATTGGATCCAATAGTTATGCCTAAGAATTTGCTTTGATCGACAAAATCAAAGCATTGATTGTGTTGGGGCATGATCCCCGACCATTATCACATCCAACTAAGGATTGTAACGTGCTCAAATCAACCCAAAACTTAATTTGGGGAAGATTTCTCTTGTGGAAAAAAATTAAGGAACAATCCCAAGAGAGATTTCAGGTTAGAGTGAACGACAGTGTAGTTCGCCAAAATTTGGTCATATCGTTTGCTCTAGCATTTCAATCTAGTCCTTATAAATTTTAATTATTCATAATTGGACCTGTTGTTGTGTAATTTTAGTCCTTGTAAAAACTAATTTTACCAATTGAGCACCTATAAGATGTAATTTAGGTTTCAAAATTTTCAATTGATTCAATTGTACCCTTAATTACTTTAATTACACTCCCCTTTAATCCAATTATCCCTTAAATGAGTTTTTTTGTATTTTTTATGTATTTTTTGGTACTTTTTCATTTACTTCGTTTTTTTAAAAAGTAAATAAATTCATAAACCAAGAAAAAATAAAAAGAAAAAAAAGAAAAAAAGAACTAAAATTAAAATTGTGATTTCTTTTTTTGGTTTTAACAACCATTAAAGCCATACCACAAACTTGACCTCTATTAATCCCTCTCCTTAACCATCCACCTTGACAAACCACTAATGGTTGCCTCCTACTACCATAGCTTCCCTTAACCGTGAAATACTAAAGTCACCAAACAGACCACTCGAGCCTCCCTCCTTTACTCCACACTCATTTGAAATAACCCAACAACCTTACTCTCTAATAGACAAAAAACAAAACACCCGACAACCTACCGCCTTTCATTTTTACCCATAGACCCACACCCAAAGTTGAACCCATCTTCCTCTATTAGACCTTGTACTACCTAAAACCTAATTAAACCTTAACACATCTCCAAAGACCTCCTTTCACTCATCCACAAACCATTCATCTTATTCTCCCTACACTCGTTCAAAACCCATTTGAATCCTATATACCATTATAGTTTCTTCTTCACCATAACTCTTCCAAACCTCAACCAATAACTAGCTCTAATAAATCCCAAACCTAGCTACTAATCAAACCATCATAGACCTCTATACGCACGGATTGAGATGAAGGTTGCAGTTGATAGATGCTATTGTTAGTCAAGTAGCAAGCTTAAAGATGAGCAATAATATTAAAGTCCATAAGCATAATAACAATACTAGATAGCAAGGGAGGATTTTTATCAAACATCTTATGAACAGTTCACTAGTACCAAAACCAATCTCTTACTAGTAATGATAAACTCTCAATCTCACTACCGCCAATCTATCTAGCCTTGCCAAAAAATGATAACCCTCATCATGACTTTTCCTTTCTCATTCATTACCCAAAACCACACATTAACCTTCGTTCGTCTCTCTAAACCCTACATGCCAATAAACCTACACTCTCTCTACCTCACTACACTAGATGACATTACATCCATAGCCATGTATTGTTTTGCCTCTAGCCTCACCTCTAAAGCCGGTGTTATTGGCAATAGTGCCAAACAGATTGATAGTATATTGGCTTGGAGCAGGAGTTATATGGCTAAAGATATCAAATTTGGTGTTGAAGCTTATGCCTTGATGCTTAGTGGTATGGAGGAGCTTGTTGATGTTGTTAAAGTTACCGTAGGCCTAAAGGATGTAATGTAGTTTTGGAACAAAGCTAAGGGGGCCTAAATTGACAAAAGATGGTGTTACTATAACAAGGAGCATTGAATTCTAAGACAGAGTTAAGAACATAGGTGTTAGCTTTGTGAACCAAGTTGCAAATGCTATAGATGATATGGTAGGCAATGGTACCATATATGTAGTTGTCCTTACCCATGCACTATTCTCTAAAGTATGTAAACCTCTGAAGCCGGAATGAATGCTATGGACCTAAGACATGGGATCTTAATGGCGATTGAAGCTGTTGTGACAACATTGAAGAGTAGGGCAAAGATGATCAAGCATATCCGAGGAAATAGCCCAGAGTTGGGATAATATCAACAAATGGAGATTGAGAGATTTGTGAACTTATAGCCAAGGATATAGAGAAAGTTGGCAAAGAAGGTGTCATTACAATATCTAATGGAAAAACATTGATAATGAATTAGATGTTGTTGAGGGAATGAAACATTAAAGGAATCAGATGATGGATGTTGTGGTGATTACAAGGATTCTTGGTGCTCGCTTTAGTCGTTCCCACTTCACAAGTCAATGTTATTTAGGGAGATGAAAGGGGCGCTTTTTCTTTTCCACCAAATAGGGTAATTTCATCTTTTCCACCAAGAAGAATGTTTTGGTCATTTTCGGCGATGTTCCAAAGAGGCATTTTTAGTCATTTTTAATGGCCATTTAGTTTGATTTCTTATTCTTCTTTTAATTATTTTATTATGTTATTTTTGTTTAATACTTTTTGGTTTTATGTGTGTTAGAAAATCTAAAAATATTTAAGGTGTGAAATTTATTTGAATGTATGCTTTTGATTCGATTGTGATGTCAAACCAACAAATCTCCTATTTATTAGGGATAGATGTTGGTTTGATATATTTTCTTAGTGTTAAAAAGCTAAAAAATATATATATATATATATAATAATGAGTCAAGTCGAGTCGATTTTATTTAACATTTTACATAAATACTTTTAGTTAATTAGGTTATTCTTCGACATACCAATCATTTTAAGACTTTAAATCAAATTCGATGATAAATTAATGAGAATCTCAAATTTAGGGCTCAATATTAATTTAATATGATGCCATAAATAAATACAAAATAAAAATAAAAAAATAAAAAATAGTTTTTCCGATGTGTCTCAAAATAAAACACCATTGTTTTAATTAAGAAAAAAAAAGCATTTTAAGCAACTTTAACCGAGTCTCATTTCCAATAGGGACATACGTTATTAATTCAATTCAAACCCATCATCATAGTAATTAGGTCATTTTTCAGCATACCGGTTATGTCAAGACTTAAACTGGATCCGATATTGAATTAATAAGATGCCCGGTGAAGGGGTCCGACGATTGATTCAATATGATGTCACAAACAAAAATAGAAAATTAATTTATCATAGGAAATAAAATTTTTAATTTTGACTTAGGATTAATCTTGGCAAAAATAGAAATTTTTAGAAGATAAACTTTAGGACTAAACTAGACATGGTACCTTTTTTTAGGAAACAATGTTTTTGGGTGATTGATATCTTCTCAAAGATATAACCAACTCCTTACCTTAGAATATCTAAACTAGTGTCCATTTTAATTTTTTAGTTACCTTTAATACTAGGTGGCAACTTGAAAATGAATAATAGCTCATGTCCCTAAATAAACAAAAATTTCAACATAAATAACTATTTTTTTAAAGTCCTAGAGAAGTCGAGTGGCGACAATGATTTATTAACAAAATGTTATCGTACATTGTGTGTGATTCTTATAAGTTTTTTTTTCAAACAAATGAAATTGCTAGGAATCATAAGCAATGCTTATTTTATGCATAACCTTAATTGTAAGAAAAAAATATAATGAATATTACATTTGATCATACTTGTCATCACCCCATTTTTACCTCATAAAAAATACCCATAAAAAAATAAAATAAAAAAGAGAGATAAAAAAGAGGGGGCTGGACATGCCCAACCTACGCTAGGCCGCACATTAGACCTAGGCACGCCGAGCCCGGTAAGTCGTCTAGCCTAAATGCTCAAGCAAAATAGTTACGGAAAACCCCTAAACCGACCTAGGTAACGTTATAAATAGATTTTACCCTAACCACACTCGGACACACCGACATATAGAGAAAAAAACCTAGTAGCCTAAAGAAAGAGTCAAAGACAAGTAATCGAAAGAAGCTACCATCGCTCCCAATCTAACGACTTTCGACCACCATGCACCAAGCCTTCCGGATCATTTGACATAGATGATTCCGAGCATCGTGAAAACTCGCTCACATTCGATGAAGGATCAACCTTTATGCGGCACCCAAAGATTTGCCACTATTGTTATTCACATATCCGATTTGGTCCTCAAACTTCTAATTTGGTAATCATACCTTTGCACTTCAACATTTTTTTTTGTTTAGTTTTTATTCAAATTTTTGTGAATTACATGATTATATTATTTATTTATATTCTATAATATCAATTATATGATTAACAAATGATTGAGATGATTAATTGAATTGAAATTATTTAATTTGAGCTTAATTGAAAAGATTTGAATTAAGAGTTATTGATGTTATTTGATATATTTAAAAGGATTCTAATTTTTTTTTTTATGTGTATGTGTGATTTTATTAGGGTAGAGAATATTTAGTATTTTTTGAGGGTTTATGTTATTTTTTTAATATATATTTATTATTATTATTGTTATTTCAAAAAATAAAGGGTTTAAGGGTTGATATGTTGCATATTATTTTTATTTTTCATATAAAAAGTCTTTGAGAAATTATCAATCGATGATGAAACTAGGAATAAGTTAGCAATTGTTTTTTAAAATAATTTAAATAATTTAAATCTAAATTAATTGGCCAAAGACCTTGTGGGCTATTTTCTTTTTCATGGTGTCGTCTTACATGATTTGTGGCTTTTACATGCTAATAGGTCTTTGCACTTTGTGTGTTCATTTTATGTGATAGCGATCTCAGGATAGTCTAAATAGAGTAGGTTTAAGAACTGAGACAAATTTTATTCCAATGATGGGCCTTTTTCTCATCGTTTATTTTATTTTGTTTTATTTCTATTGCTATTATTTATAGTTGATTTTAATTTATTTTTATGGTGCTACTAATTTCTTCTTCTTTTAGATTTACCATTGAATTTGGGCTTTGGGACCTAATTTAAAATTTTAAACTAGCATGATAGGGTAATATGGGCTTGAGGCCAATGTTCGTTGTTAGGTCATTATGGACTTATAATTTTTTATTTTATTTCATCATTTGACAAGTGAATTTGGGCCTATGGCCCATGTTCATTTTATTTTTATTTTTTATTTTTATGGGATTAGGATTTAATTGACAATGGGCTTCAAGCCTTAATTTTTACCTTGCTAAATGAGCTCCAACTGACCCAATAAAATTTTAGGTGAGAGACTAAGTTTTCTTTTAGTTTTCAAATCACGCAAATTAGGATAAAAATATAACTTGCATGAATGAATTCTCCTAAGCCATAAATACAAGGTAACCTCATAGCGAGGGCACATTAGGGTGATTATAATTTTCTCTAGTTGTGTAATCAACCATTTTCCTTAGAACTCTTAAGATCAATGTTAGGTTTTTCTTAGTTTTTATTTTTTTTAAAAAAAAACCCGAGTGGCAACTCCACACCTATATGTTTTATTTTTTACGATTGTCGAGAGGCCATTATTTGATAGTACTAAACATATTAATTAATTTGAGTTGAGACAAAAATTGAAGACACAATAATTGCTAGTAGGTAACTATTATGAAACAAAGAAAAATGAATTGTATCTTATTGTTTCTTCTCCCATGAACCAAAAAAAAAAATAGTTACTATTCACTACATTATTTAAAATACTTGTTCGACCAAACTCATTTGCATTATTCATCAAGAGTCGGATGTATTATTCCTTTTACTATGCAATGACATTTTTAGAGTTTTTGAACATTTTAAAAATATTTATTATGAAATTTTTCATGACATTATACTTTAGTCATTCTTTTTTAAACATTCTTTTTTTAGTCCATAAATATTTTTTGTTTCATTTTGGTCCCTCTTTTTTTTTTTTTGAATTTGGATCACTTTGGTCCTTTCTTTTTGTTTTCCTTTATTCTTTTAATTAAAATTTTTAGAAAAAATAATTTACAAAATAAGTTTTTAGCTAAAACTTCATTGAATTTGACATTTTTATACTATTATAAATTTTTTAGTTTGTGGATCGAGATAAATAAATAATGTTTAAAAAATTTATGAAAAATATAAAGAATAATTAGTTGAATCCAAAATTTTGATTAAAAAATTACTAAATTGAATGAATATTTATTTAATTTTAATTTGATATATTTTAGTATATACACGATATAACACGAAATATCAAACTAAAATAATTTTACGTGCTTTATCTAATTCGTTGTATAGCGAAGGTAAAAAAAAAACTAATATGAACTAAGTAAAAAATAGAAGGATACTATTTGGATGGAATTTAAAAAAAAATTTAAATCAAGCGCCCCCAAACCAATAAACACGGCCACCCTAAAACACCCACCCAATCCAAAAAAGCGAGCGCGTAAAAAAGATTAATCTCAAAACCAAGTTAATCACTTTTTATATGGGATGTAAATAAATTAAAAAATAAAATCTTAGCTAAACGTTAAAAAAAAAAAAAAATCCATTTAATCAATGTTTAGGCTAACTCTTTTCTGATGCATCATTGGGATTTGAGTACAAATGTAAAAGCAGAGACAAATATATCTATAGAGTTTTATTTTTGCACTAAATACTTAACATGAACTAGGAATCTCACATTCCCATAGAAATTATGTACTACATAAGAAAGCAAATTCTATAAACATATTGCTATAAATCTCTTTAAAGAAAAAAAAAATTACTCCTAGTATAAATAATATTCAGAATCATTAAAAAAGAAAAAGAAAAAGAAAAAGCTTTGATCACTATCAAATTTTCATAATTACAACAAAAAAGGAACAGTTCTAAGTATATTGGGATTCAAATCTAAGCAATTAAGCATATTAGAATAAATATCCCAGGGAAAAACATAGAAAGAAACTATCAATTATAACTCAAAGATTTGTCCACTTGAAAGAAACCCACAATAATTTTAATTTAATTTTATGTAATTCAAATCCATTAAGAGTTGTATGACTACATAAAAAAAAAATAAAAATTCCTTATATATATATATCAAGAAAATCAATATATAAACTAATATCAAATACTTATAACTAGGTCGTAATCTCACTTATTGTAAAAATAGACCAAGATAACAATAACATAAAACTAGACTAACAAATATTTACAACAAATA